GAACACAGGATATTTCTTGATTGATTCAGATCTTTTAAAATTTTTCTCAGCAGTGTTTTTGTGGTTTTGCGTGTACAGGTCTTACACATTCTTTGTCAGGTATATCCCCAAGTATTTCATATTTCTGATGCTGTCGTAAATTATATTACTTTTTAAATTTTAATTTCTGTTTGTTTATTGCTAGAATATAGAAATACAATTGATTTTTGTATATTGATCTTCTAGCGTGCTATCTTGCCAAACTCACTAGTTCTAGAAGTTTATTCGTCTATTCCACACATTTAAAAATGTTTCTTGGGGAAATTGCAGATCCTTATGAATTTCTTCCACATTTTAGCATTTCCTGGTTCTCTGCTAAATTATTTAATTTCCTAGAGCTGCCATGACAAAGTACCACAAACTGGGTGGCTTGAAACAACAGAAATGTATTGTTGTACAGTTCCGGAGGATGAAAGACCAAAACCAAGATGTTGGCAGGACCACGCTCCCTCCACCTGCTAGGGGAGAGTCTCTCCCTTGGCCTCTGGCGCATGACTCCAGCCTCAGCCTCTGTCTTCACATGACCATCTTCCCTCTGTGTCTGTGTGTCTCTGTGTCTTCACATCGTCCCGGCGTCTCTGTTTTCTCTTCTCATATGAATATCAGTCCTGTTGGATTAGGGCCCATCCTAATGTCCTCACTTGAATGTGATTACATCTGGAAAAAACATCTTTCCAAATAACATCCCATTCACAGGTACCAGGGATTAGAACTTCAACATTATCTTTTTGGGGAACACGATTCAACCCATAACACATACTTTCAGATCAAAGAACTTCTCTCCTTTCTTCTCCTTGCTTTAGTAGTTACAGTATATTAAATACATTTACCAAGCACCTAGCTGGTACTCTACCTGTGTAAAAATGCCCCTAAGTATGAATCTTCACGTTATGTAAAACTAATTAGGTAATAACTTTATAAATTCAGAAGTTAGAGCATTTGAAATATTTTAGCTGTATTTTGGATTGAGAGGACTTAGAAATAAATATTCAGGCCATTGAGAGTGAGAGAATCCCAGTCTGAGTGTCATACTATATACTTGGGGTGGGGCGGGGGGAAACAGTCTCATGATAGTTTGATAACGATGTAGCCAACAGCTTCGTGAAATGGTAGAATCTTGCAGAATTGTGCAGCCAAGCAAATCCTGTTATTGAGTTGCTTACTGGCTTTTAAAAGTGGAAAAGTTTGAGGTAGTTATAGTTTATGGGGTAAATTCTCACAGCAATGACCATTTTTGGAGCACCTGTCATACGGACAGTTCTGTGAAGAGTTCTGGCACACCTTTACCTAGTCTCTCACCTCGGAGAGCAGAGCCCTCAGAAATGCATGTTGAATGATTCTCATGGCAGCTCCCCAGAAGGAGTAATGGCCCAGCTTTACAGAGGTGGAATCTGAGTTTCCAGGAGCTTAAAATGCTGCCTCCTGGGTCTCACAGGCAGGAAGCGGAGCCAGACCTTTCTGGATCCCAGACACTCAGCTGCTCCTCTGTGTAGAGTCCTTCCCATGGTTAACCTGTGCCTGGTCGCTTTTCATTGCTGTTGCATCTTTTACATCCAAAGCTTCTCAATTTAATTCAGGGATTGGAAGTAAACATCAAATAAGTATTGGGCAGATGGGAACAGGAATCTGGAAAATCTTAGATTCAGTGTTATCCAGCTCTGTTTGGAAGTCATTTGAGCTGCTTTTCGGATATTCTCACTTCCCCACTTGCTCACGAGATGGGATTGCCATTGCCATTTCTTGTCCCCTTTAAAATTAGGTATGGCCACGTGGCTTGTTTTGTCCAAAGAAACAGGAGCGGAAGTAACCCCTGGGTGCTTCTGGCAGAAGTTCTGAGAGCCAGTGTGAAATGCGCCACATTCCTGTGCACTGCTCTGTGATTGTGCAGGCACACGCTGAGGGACAGCGTCACGCTGCCTGGTCCCTGAGTGACTGTGCTGAGCAGAGCCCCTGCCAACCCTGCCTGGACGAGGAGAACGTCCAGGAATCTTCTGGTTGTGCTAAGCCGCCGAGATTTTGAAACTGTTTCTAACTGCTGCATATTCTTGCTCATTGTGACTGATTTAGCAAATTTAGGAACAAAACATAGAAAGTAGACATTCATCAAGGATTTCCAGTAGAGAAAATTATTTTGAAAATAACTATTTAAAACTTCTTGTAGTAGACTCTCTTAACATGTCTAAAATATTAAGACGGGAAGTCGAAGGAATAGCTTTAATGCATGGAGGTTTGAAGGCCAAAGCAGTATTCAATTCATGAGATAGATAACTATCTAGTTCTATGATATTACTTTACTTTTTATATTTAAAACTTTGGTCTGACAAGAAATGTTTGTCCATTGTTTTGCACTAAAGAAAAAAGTTCGACATGAAAAGAAGAGGAGGAAATTTGTGGTTGGGAAACCAGAGGACACGACGAACAGTGACACCTTTATCCAAGCAGTACTGAGAACAATAATGGGGTTTTACTCTAAATTTCTGTTGCAAGAGGGGTATGTGTTAAAGCCAGATCTTCTGTTACATTCAGTATCTTGTTTCTAGCCTGTAGTAGCTGGCATAACCTGGCTTTAAATTATGCTCCACCTTGCAATTACTAAGTTCAGTGTTTGAAAAGTCTCTGTTTATTCATGATGGCTTGCATTTACCTATATCTCACTCTACAGACAATAAACTCAGTTTTTAAAGAACAAAGAAAGCCATAGTTTTAGACACTGAGAGCTGTTGCAACTTGACAAGAGAAATTTTCCTAGATTTCCCCTAGAGTTGGACGGAATAAGTGACAATGGATATTGATGAGTTTACTAGATTTTAAAAATTGGATGAGTCAAAAAATTGGTCATCTGCCATAAATTTATACTGCCTAGTTTAATCTTAGACCCAGTCATTATATTTCATTTGATATGCTACTGTTCGTTATACAGCTATTTAAACATTGCTGTGGCATAAACTTCATTGTGGAACAACCAGGCATTGTCTTTTAAACTAGGTATAATAGGTGACACACACTACATGTAATTATTGCCAGACTTTCATGCTTTTAATGTATATGGATAATAATTTTGCAGTTATTTTGGTCTTTTAAGATTTAATATGTATCAAGTCATTTTAGCTATTTTTAATACTATTGTCAAGAATAACAGAGCTAATATCACCTTTAAAAAGATGATCTAGTTCAGTAGTCTTTATTTCCTAGAAAAGAACTCTTTCAAATACAATCAGACATGAAACCTAATACAAATTTTTTAAATTATAAAATTTTATCATTTCAAACTTAATATACAGTAAATTAGTGAGGGGAAAAGACTATTTTGAACAGTAGACAGACTTAGTTTAAAAGGGCCTTGACCTTCACTTTGCATTTTGTTTTGTTTGGCAAGTATTTGAAAATACTGAATTACATGGTAAGTAGCTGCAAGTGGTAACAGTTTTTATTGGTTTGTTTTTCAAGGTTCAACCTGAATCTTTAGGAGCCTTCAGTTTTATTGGACCACAGAAAAGTTAATGAAATGTGTACTTATTGAGCTTGAGTGTTATTTTTTTAATCCGAGCTTTAAGGTAGTTAAAGAAAATCAAATAAAAAATTTACAGAATCCCAAACAGCTTTTGAAAACTACTAATCATGCTTTATTTAACAATATCTCTGTAGAGTGAGAGTATAGATTCTGATTGTACTATGTATTTTTTTAGAGAAATAGTCAAATATTGGAGAAAATGTGAAACTGTCTTTCACTGAAAAGGGTTAGATGAGTATGAATAAATCCTCACTGAAAAATAAGTTGTATTCTGGAAGTTTCAGAATTTTTTTTTTTAATTTCTATTTTACTCAATACTAAGAGTAGCTGCCAGCCCAGCCTATAAATTATTTAGCCTATAATTGAAGTAATAATATCAAGATATCTTTTGATTACATATGCATTTTTAAGTTAGTTTGGCATCCTAAAAGAACTTCATGACTATTTCCATGAGATTTTAAAATATCTGATTTCTGGTCCTGGTTTGGAAACTTTGTTCCACTGTGGAGTAGCAAAGGAGAGTGAGGGTTTTTATTCCCCAGTTGGAGAATTTTTATCCCTCCACTAAAGTAACCGCTGGTCTCCTCTTTGAAGACTAATCATAGATCCTGGTGTTAGAAAGGAATTCTGAAGATGCCCTACTTTGGCTCTGTGCCGTTAGATGCATGGTTTTATAAAGCCATGCCAAGGGGAAACTTTTCCAAAAGCAAACACAATTTGCACTCCTTTGAGTAAGCTGGATATTTAAAGGAACCCTGTGGCAAATACTTTTACAAGGCAAATGCTCCTTTAAGGTGGCCTCTGGGTAATTGGAAAGCTCCTCGGGCTTTAAAAAGCCATTAGAACCCTTCTTGCTGCACTTGTCCCCACTGATGAGAGTAATCAGTGCAGTGGTTCCTCCTTGAAGACAATTCCTAGTCTTTAAGCAGCCAGTGACCCCACTCCCCCTGTGACCCAAGGCACTGTGCCCCCTAGGTGGCTTCTACTCAGTGGTACCAGGCATTTCTCTAGGGACTGGCAGGCATCTCAGACTGCCACCCGGCTTCATATTAAATTCTGCACCCCGATTATAGGCTGTCATCAAAGTTAAATTGAGAACTAAATATGAGAGCATCGAAGGCCATGATTTCTCATGTCACTTCCAACTGATGAGTCTGGGAAACAAGCACAGCATGAGGATTGCTTGTGGTTTCGATGTGGAATTACATAATCAGTTGTGTGTGTCAAAAGTCATGGCAAGACCCTGGGTTCAAATGCTGAGTTCACTGCTTACTCGCACAACATTGCAGAGGGAATAACTTAATTACTCTAAGCTTGACTCAGAAGGTTGTTGTGAGGTCTGAAGGTGATCCCTTTAAAGTATATTAACATGGCATGTAAGCGTAAAAAGATAAATAAAGAGGGGTGTTTTTTAATGCCCTTTCTTCTCCCCCGCCTGTCCCCTCTGCAGAATGTGATAAGCTGCGGCGGGATGGCTACCGGAGTTCTCAGTATTACTCCCAGGGACCCACCTTTGCAGCCAACTCTGGTCCGCTCTGTGATGACTATCAGGATGAGGATGAAGACACAGATCAAAAGGTAAGGCTTCTAAATTCAACATAAGATCCCAGATTGGATACCAGAACAGAAAAAGGACATAAGAAGAAAAAATGATGAAATCAGAACAAAATCTTTTTTTTTTTTAAAGTTAATATTATTATCCCAAGTTAATTTCTTAGTTTTGAAAAGTACCGTGTTTATGTAACATCACTCTTACGGGAAACTAGGTGAAGGATACACAAGGACTTCTCAGTACTATTTTTGTAACTTTTCTCTAAGTCTAAACTCAGTCTAAATAATAATAATAATTTTAAAAAAAGGTAAGTTCTTGATCCAAGGAATTTATTAAAGGGGCGTAATGAGTATATTTGTACATTTTGAATATTCTCTTTTGGGTAGAAGAAATAAAAGTCTTATTTCTGTTACTTTGTTTTCTCATATGACCAAGACCCCAGGTAGATTACAAAGAAGAACTGTAAGTTTAACAGCAGAAAATTCAAGTGGTCAGTATTTTCACATAGCTCAAATGTTGACCGTGCTTTACTTACTATTATAGCACTGGTCAGTTCACTTTTATGATGCTGTTTCATATTTATTTTCTCTTTCTCTTGCCATCTCTTATGATATGTGCAAACTATTTAAGACAAATATATTTTCTCAGTGCTAACTGCACATGAAGGAATAAAAATGTATGGAGATTTTTAACTTACACAGTTTTTTTTTTTTCATTTGATTAAGTAATATTGACTTGACACAAATTGCTTAAATAATGAACAGTGGTTTAGAAAGCATTTTAAATTAATCTAAGACATTTCAGTGGAATTAGTCAATATAGCAATATCTTATTTTTTGGAGAACGTTATTCAAAATGTATTCTCTTTCCACAAATAGGTAATATCAGAGAATAAAGTAGATAACAGTTCATCAAAAATGGGAAATTACTATCTTAAATTTTTGGTGTTCTGATGAAGATTGGACCCAGGTTTTTATTGCAGAATGTTTTTCCTATTTCTTTAAAGGCATTTTCACATGTTAGGTTTAGTCCTTTGGGACTCCAAAATACACAAATAATATACAAATAAGTAAATATACAAATAATAAGAAAAGCAGCTATTTCAAACTTGAGTTGGTCTTTAACTTTTAAAACTTTTTTTTCTTGTTGGCATGAATAAGAAAAATAAAAATCAGAAAATGAATTATATAGTCAGGATTTTGCTTTGTTTTGATTTTAAAAGTTGTTCAGCTTTATCGAAGTATAATTGACAAATAAAAATTTATATATTTAAAATGTGATGATTTAACATATGTGTAACTTGTGAAATGATCATTTCACATAATCAGCCTGATCACAACCAGGTTAATTAACATATCCATACCTTACATAGTTACCTTGTATGTGTGTGCCTGTGGCTGTGTCTGTGTGTGTGTGGCAAGAATCTTTAAGGCCTACTCTTAGCAAATTTCAGGTACACAGCACAGTATTGCTAAGTGTAGTCACCATGCTGTACCTTAGATCCCAAAGAGCTTAGTCGTCTTAAAACTGAAGGCTTATACCCGCTTTGGTTAGCATCTCTTCATCTCTTACCTGTGAGATTTTTTTTTTTTTTTTTTAAATCCAGATATACCTCAGCCTTTCACTGATGCTCAGAGAAGGAGGAACATTCCGTTTATAGGGGAACCCAGTAAGACAGAGGTGGTTTCTGGGTCAGTGTGATTGTACAAGTCGTGAGTACCCAGGGTACACAGAGTCCTCTGGTGGCAAATTGGCATTGCCAAGACACCATCCTAAGATCTTCTAGACAATAGAAGTGTAGTTTATAAATTCTTACATAGCTATTTACTCACCATGATGCTTAAATCTGAGGGAAGTTAAGTCTCTGGACCAGTTTCTATACCTGTGTGCGTTGCCATGCAGCCCTCTCGTAAACGTGTGAGAGAGTGTAGACACATTACCCCTGAGAAAGCAAGGCTCCTGTCATGTTGAACATGAATCAGCAGATAATGATCCTACATAAAGGAATATATATACATATAGGCACACACATATGAATGTCATCCTTTATGTGACATGACGTAACATGTCTTAGGAAGCACAAGAAGTACCTTAGTGTGATTTGGTAGCACTGGAACCAACAGAGCAGGAACCAGAGATGATAGTGAGATCTTAGACAGATCTTCTCTTGGGGCCACATTCCTGTTCTATAAAAGGGATGCACAGTGAGGAGCCTCCCCTGGCGTGTGTGCTGACAGGGAGTACAGTTTCCTGGCCCCCCAAAGAGCCTCTCCGAGTCACAAAAGCTGGACTTATGGCCTTCCTATGCTTGTGCCCTCACAAAAGCACTTAGTTGCTTTCAATTCTTACTTTCCTTCACTGTTTTATATCCTTGGTTGAAAGTGTTTTTGAAATCCTTGGAATACACTGTTAGCGATATTTAAGGGGAACTATTTCTCGTCCTTAAACACATAGAACCAAGTTGAATTATGTTCAGAAATTTCTAAGTCATTCAGTCCGAATGTCTTCTCAAGATAGTTTCTGGTAGGAAATTTGTTTCAGAATAAAGTAAATATCACATCATATATGTCAGGGAGTACAGTTTCCTGGGCCCCCAAAGAGCCTCTCCGAGTCACAATGGCTGGACTTATGGCCTTCCTATGCTTGTGCCCTCACAAAAGCACTTAGCTGCTTTCAATTCTTACTTTCCTTCACTGTTTTATATCCTTGTTTGAAAGTGTTTTGAAATCCTTGGAATATACTGTTAGCGATATTTAAGGGGAACTATTTCTCGTCCTTAAACACATAGAACCAAGTTGAATTATGTCCAGAAATTTCTAAGTCATTCAGTCCGAATGTCTTCTCAAGATAGTTTCTGGTAGGAAATTTGTTTCAGAATAAAATAAATATCACATCATATATGTATTAATTATAAATATTATATATTAATTAAAAATCAACTAACAAATTATAGTATCGTATTACCTCATTGTATTCACTTCCTTCCTCCTCTCTCTCCCTCCCTCCCTGTCTCCTCGGCATGCATCTCTGTTACACTACATCATTCAGTGTTGTATTAACTTCTGCAATTTCTTGGTTCCATGGAGCGTCAGAAAACCCACTCACCATCCCACTGTTACATAGCAAATTTGATGGTGTTGGAACGCATTCTTTATCTTTTTGTTTGTTCATCATTATTGGATTAATTACAGTGCTCTCTACCAGAGGATATGCTTTTTTTTCTTCTTAACTGTATAAAGTTAACAGAATTTAGTGCTGCTTTCAGTGACAAAGGTCCTGAAATTGATATGGAAAATAACCTTTGTATGTCCTTGCGGTTTCTCTACCACTTCCTGTGGGTCCCCCTCCCTAATTAGCGCTCGAGTATCTTCAAGTCCAAGTGAGGATTCATTCTCGTGCATCCCACGCCGTGCTTAGTGCATGATTGGCTGCTCAGCTGGCTCCTTCTTTCAACAATCATTTCCTGAACAGTTACTACTAAGTAAACAGTCACTACTAAGTGAATGAGAAGTTGTCATTAATCTTTGCGACCCTCACCAGCATTCACTGTATCGCAGTGTTGTGTTGATGCAGCCACCAGTGATTTATTAAATACCTTCTTTGTGCTATGGACTATTCTAGATGATGGATATATAACTAATGAAACAAATAAAAGAAATCCTTGCCTTCAATGGTACTTGATTTCATGGTGAGACACAGAGTAAACAGGCAAAATGATGCTGTATTAGAAAGTAACGTGTTCGGCCATAAAATAAAACAGAATAAAGCAGAGGGGAGGTTGCAGTTTTAAATTAAAAAGCTAGGCCTCCCTGAGCAAAGAGATG